TATGAGAAAAATGAACAAGAGTTGGATGGAGCTAGAAAAGAAGACCTATAATAACAATAATATATATTTCTGCATATGCAGGTACACGCCATTTTTACAGGCATGATCTATAAATTACAACGTTTGTTGGTTCACAGAATGCTTCTCAACTTATTAAGTCTATCGTTGTTATAAAGTATATTCGTGGAACGCTTGCTGTAAACCGTGACACTGAGGAAACGCGTACGTCAAGTTTGTTCCAGACGTCAGAAGTTCCATAGCTGTGCCCTAGAGCAAGATTCTGAAGAAAGAAAAAAGAGAAACAGAAGATCAGCAAGGCACTTGTATGTGAACACCAAACGTTGCTTAACATTGTGTAGTAGAACGGACAGAGGTATAATAAATTAGAATAAATTCACATTATCTCTTGTGAGAGTGAAATGAAGTCAGAGGCTCCATATTAGAGAATGTAATAATAAAGGACAATGAGTTGTGTCGTTTAACAAGTTGGAGTAAGCTCACATGAAGGAAGGGAAGTCAAGGCTGGTAAAAGGAAAGCGCTTTATTAGGAGGGTGTGTATATAGAGGGTGATGTGTTAAGAATACTAATGACTATATCTTTTGTCGTCTAATTTTTTTCCTTTTTTGTCTATCCGATGACTGAGTGGGTTGGAGAATAGTGGTTTGCGGCCTATGCTACATTAGTAGTAACAGGCGTAAGTAAAGTTAGTAAATATATCATGAGGAATAGTGAATAATTTATCCTGCTATTAAGATAGACTAGAAATATGCAACAACTTAGATTGATTAGTTAAGAGTTGACCTCAAACAACTAAGTGTATACCAAAACAACATAGCCCAGTCACTCATTCACTTTCTTATTTTGTGTAAGGCTTGTATTTCCCATTAGCTTATATCGAATGTTGAAAAGCTTTGTGTGTTTGAACAATTACCTTCGCTCTCCACTATGTACCACCCACGAGCCAAAATAAAGACCCATCTGCTAATAGTTAAATTTTTTCGATCAATAGAAAGACGGATACTTACAGGCACGAAAAATCTACGCTTCAGTTTAGCATTTCAACCACCACGTATAGCACTAAATATACATCTAAAGAATCTACTTATTTCTCGAATGCGATCTGAACATTTCATCGGTAGAGGTTGCACAAACAAACGGTTTTAAATATTAACAGGTCTATCTTGTAACGATTATCAAGAAAAAATCTAGAGTTTGTTCAAAAAGTTATAACAGAATTTATCAACTATGAGACTGCTTATAAGCTCGATTTTCACTCGCTAAAAATTTCTAATACTTTGCTCAGTCGTCATGATGAATTGTATTTGTAAGATCACAAGGCTGGTGTAACGTTAATTAGGATTTCCATTCTCGTGGAACTATGGGAAATAACTTGATGACGAATTTGCAAAGGTCGGAACATGTTTGGTAACTGTTCAGTATAAGGTGAGATTCACGCATGTGATTCACGAGTATTACAGTCATTGGACTAGACCAAATAATTCAAGAAACCACTATGAATCATTAATGAGGCTCTCACCCTTCTCAGTAAGATGAAAAGAATGTGGGAAAGATTTAAGTTACTGGGTTCTGATGAGACAAAATATCAATACCGGAAACCCAAAATATTTGTGACTACTCTTCACAAGTCAAAATGATTACGTGAAGAGACGATTATCCGGAAAGACTTAATATTGTAGACGAAAGCCCGATTCTTTCAGTAAATCAGCATAGCTTTGGAACAGATTATTCATGTTTCTCGAACTTATTAGTGGCCCGTGTAAGTCTATGTGCACTTAGTGATGTAACCCACATTGACTACTGTAAGGCTTTTTTCGTTGTCATGCACAACCGCTTATTACGTATGCTAAGTGATACCGGTATTGTACGGAATTTATCCATGTGGATAAAATCCTATTTAGTTTGCTGTCAGGAAAAAGAACGAGTGAACTCAAAGTTGCCTGGCTGGAAACTTTACTTATCAGAGTACCTCAGGTGACAATTGTGGGGTCATTGTTGCACCTCCTGTTTGTAAGTGATATACATAACCTTCCATCATCATCAGTATTATTATGCGCTGACGAGATTAAGACACAGAGAGTGATAAAATGTAAATGTGATATTTTTGAGCATCAAAGTGACCTGGACGGTCTAGAATTTGGCATTTGCCGACGAATGTGTCAGAGTGCATCATGATACGAATTGGCCACCAAAACATAGATACTTACGTTATGAATAACATTCAGCCACCCCTTGTACAGATACACTGGCTTAGGAGTAATCGTTAGTTAGTACTAAAAAACCACTCCCCACTGTTGTGCTGTAACCACCGATTGTTTAAGAACCCTTGGTCAGTACTTTTTGACTTTCACAAAGTATTCGTCCGTCCTAAACTCAAGGACTGCATACAGGCAGCTATCCCATGCTTAAAAAGAAACGGTGAGTTTTTGAAAAGTGTTCAAAAACGCAACTAAGCTGATTCCCGAGATCGTATATCACTCATATTATATTGACAGATTAAACCAAACCTATTTATAGTGTCATATCGAAGAACCGGAGGGGACTTGATCACAGTTATTAAATTACTTAGTGATAAATTGCATTTGATTTGCCGTCACTCTTGCTTTTCGAGACGGAGAAAACTTTCACGAACCTAGAACACATTGCTTGTTGACTATCATCGATTTTCCCACCAAAACATTAACGGGTGGAACACGTCACCTCAGTGGGAGGTTAAAGTTCCATCTGTTGATGAATTCAAACGAGATTTGGATCAACTGAGAGACCACAACTGATAGGACTAATACAGGACATCCAACCCACTTTACTTTCAAAGCTAAAACTGACGATGTTTTCGTCATGCTAAATGCTTTGAGAGTGGAAAGACTGAACAAACTAAATCGATGTGCAGAACAACTATTCATCTCACTACTAGCGGTAATCAGCTCAGTAATTTGGATCGTACTGATTTGTGTTTCCAATGATCAAATGTTATTTTTACTAATATTCAGAAGCTATCATATACTTCCTTTGATTCATTCCTTGTTTTTATTGTTGCCTCAAGGAGCATAAAATTATTTATTTCACCAAAGAGTTGAGAGTCTTCAGATTCAAACGTTTCGGTACAACCTACTGAACTCTCAGTGTTTGAAAAAAAACAGACACTAACTGTCCTGACGAAGATTTGACGGACCTTCAATTATAGATGATAGTTCTAAGGTATTCTCGTAAGATGCTTATCTCTAAAATTTCTCAGACCAATCTTTGCCCATTTTACAACAGTTAACACTCATTTTGGTCTATTCGAATGCAACTATTTATCTAGTTCTTTTTTATTAACAAGTTTTCTTTAGTGTCATTCGTGTTTAATTCCTAAATTTTCTCAGGCTAGTTCTTTATTTCAGATCTTGAAATTTGCCACATTTAAATGGAGTTCAGAACAAGTGTCTTGTTCACAAAGTAATGTGAAGTTTATTTAAGGTGATGTTGTTGTAGATGATCTATGTAGAATGACAGGGGGCCTACTCGAGTTAGACGGAAATGGTGTGACCAACAACTAACTTCGAAGTCAGCAACTAACTCAAATTATCCCTTGGTCGTATCAAAGTACTATGGCTACTTTGAAGACCGTATGACACAAAAAACTTTATTATTGAGATATATTAGTAAGAGTGGGTACAAAGAACATAGTGCAATCACCACCGCATGGGCCAGTCCATGGTGTACGATTGACTGATGCGCGTTAGTTGTCCTTAACCTTGACGTAAATCGATGAACTCGTCGACATTCAGCGACCCAACTGCCGGATGATTTGGCTAGGTCTCAGTGACATTTTACTGGCCCTACACTGTTGTTCGATTTCACACTAATAATATACATAGTATATTTATTACGAATGCATCTCTTGTGGGTATTAGTGAACGTTTGAAGCAGGAAAATGTGTGCCGTCCTCACAGAAAGTAGATCAGTGGATTACGTTTGACCAGTTTTATAGATCACAAAGTTTTAAAGTCTATTAATTACCCTCAAAAATTCTTAGCACATCCCTCAGCTGCTATATTTCAACGATTGAATATTACTTTGAGTGCATATAACTAAACTACTCAGCACAGAAGAGCTAAGAAATGTCCAACATGTTGACCATATAGTAAACACAATTTATTGAAGTAAGTACGTAACAATTATAAACATCAAAAATTGACATGAGACGGAAAAACAAAATGCTATTAATAGATTGTTAAGTTTGTCCTACATTGTTCCTACTCGTTCCCTTTCTACTCTTCTGTATATTGTCTTATACTACTTATTTACATTCAGTAAGCAGTTGTATTCCCAACGACGCAAGTTGTACTGTAATATTCTGAAATGTTCACATATACTTATAACGTTTACTGTACTTACCATTGTATTTATCATTATAATTACTGTATCTTAATCGCTGTAGCCGTTATCCACAGTTTTGTGCATTTGTTTAAACGCAACAGTTTCCATATTGTTTGCTCTTGGTTCGGGTTTCAGTTGTTCGTAAACTGTTATCAAATTTAGACACCGCTATCAGCTGTCCTTTGTATGTTATAATTATTCTTTATGTTACTTTTACAGGAAGCCTTTTTATTTTCATACTTGAAGGACGCGTTTAAACGCCCCAGACATCTCACAAGTTGAGGTTTGTAACTGAACTTTGTTTATTATTCAATAAAGAACCACTATTGTAAACAAATCGTTGTTTTGGAAACTTCGGTTTTGCGCGTATCTCAATCGGGTGACTTGGGCGCTCCGATAGATCTAATATAGCTGATAAATAACGATATCCCAAAATCCTCGACAATATGTAACATATGCACGAAAACCATGACTTAACGTTTTGACCACCCAAATTGACTTAATTTGGCAATTTGAATACAAATCTAGTCATCTGATAGTGTCGTGATAGGTGAAACACTCGAATCTGGATTTCATCTCATACAGACCAATGGATAGGCATTATGAAGAAGCAAATAACTATCTAACAGAGATCAGTTTATAGTAAGAAATGATATTATCGAAAATACAAGTATATAACATCAGTTTCTAATGGATAATTGTACATCAATATTCATAAACACTTTAAATAATAATATTGTTTTAATTATTTATTTGTTTCCTTCTAACTGAAGCTGTCCGCGTCATTCGTATTTTACTGCACCATTTTGTTTTATATGGATTTATACAATCTTTAGCCGCTCCACCACGTGATCTTCTAATGATATCATTAGTATTCGGATAAAATTTTGGATTCCATAATAATTTTTGTTTTAATTTATCACTAATTTTGTATAAGAGAAAACATGTTGAAAAATCTTATTGAAATGTAAAAGTAATAAAATTGATTATTTACATTATTTTTTAGTTGACAAGTTGTATTTAGTCAAATAAATGATTATTAAGGAATTCAAAGAATTCAACACTAGAGAATAAATAAACATGATATTATCAGTATACGGGGTTATGGAGATTAAGTTATTGATTGGGATCATGAACCGACTGATATTAGATCACTATTGAAAACCTGTGGGACTATTCAGCAGTGCGCATCCATGATCTTGCTCACGGGATTCAAACCCAATGCCTTCAGTCTTACGTGCGAACGCTTCACGTCTAGACCCCTGAGTCGGCATCCAACGATGTTATTGTCTAACCTCAACCAATCCGCAAAATTGCGAAACGTTCATACGCGAGACTGAAGGCCCTGAGTTTGAATCCCGCGGGGCGGGATCGTGGATGCGCACTGCTGAAGAGTCCCACAATAGGAAAAAACAGCCGTACAGTGCTTCCAGGTTTTATATGGTGGTTTAACATCAATCAGTTCATGATTTCAATCAAAAAATATGATACTGTTGACCAATCATTATGAATACCACAGGTCTGCTAAAGGTTATTTGTAACTCATCCAATACAGTGCGAATGTCATTGAATTTGACAATAAGCGACGTAAGTTTAAATGATATACGAAACGCTTATTCCCTCGAAATTATAGACATCCACTGAAAATGTATAAACAATGAAATCTGAGACGATGGACTGATATTTGCAAAAGTTTGCAAATTAACTATTTACTGTATGCATCTCAGATTTCAGTGAGATATTCTGTAATTTCGTGTTCCAATACATTCGATTGTCCCCACTTGTGTTCTTGTTCACCACACAGTCATTTTAGTGTATATAATTTGGGGAGTTTTCAGTTAGAAACCTGATGAATAATAACGAGGGTAACACATTCAGATTACGTAGAAAATGTGTTTTTTTAACACCCTCAAAGAGTTTGTTAAAGCTATGCATCACAAATCGAGAATAAATTAATTATCAAAACACTCACTTTGTCAGCAGCAATTTACACATTTGACCGTCATTCGACTCATATATTTCTTGAGCTTCCGGTCGTATTCGTGGAGTTTGCTTTGGTATTAATTCAGGATTCATCGAGTGCAAGTTACTATTGTTCAGTGTTCCACGATTTCTTTTAGCATATTCAACTCCCTAAACAAATAGGTCAGAGTAAAAAGAAAACTCAATCAACTTTTTGTAATGCTTTATCATTATTACTTGTAAGGTTTCATTGTTGTTAATATTTAAGATTGAAAATGATCATTCTTTGTTAGGATATGAGATATTTGAATCAATGCGACAACAACGGATACCATACAGCTAATCGTAAATGAATATATAAGTTTCTATCCATCAATCAAACAACCTGTTCCCAAAAAGAAGCTAAATGATAAATGAATGAAAAAAAATAGATAGATACCCTTGAGGACGAACTTGCTGGTATCTGGTAACCGTCAACAAGGCATATATTCAAACTGAAGGTAACGATTGTATCAACCAAATACCTAATCCGAGTCACTCACCAGTTTCACAGGAAATTAAGACAATAAACAAGATAAATGTAGGTTTCATGTGAGATGTTTCAAAGTATTTACATAATAAATATACATAGTTGTAAAACACTTTGTTAAATACATACTTCAAACTTATTACGGGGCCCATTTCCACACTGTTGCATATCTCGAGAAAATGTAGCTTCTGATATTGCCTCTGCAATCTTATCCATATCCGCTCCAGGATAAGACTGTTTAGGCTGAATTAAACCTAAGCGTTCAGCCATTCCAACTCCTTCACGTGCAGCATTTGCTGCTGCTGATTGAGGAATACTTCGGGGAGCAATTTTCATATTGATATCTTTTAGTAGCAAAGTAGAAGGAAGTTTCTCACCTAAAATCTCCGCCATTTGTGCACCTGAATGATCAGCTGTATCACTGTCATCATTGAAATAATTAGACGGTTTGTTAAAAGTTTGTATTTCATTTGACTTTTTTGTAAGACCACTTTTACTAAAATGAATAACAAAGAAATGATGAACATACCAATGTAACTATTATTTATACAATTCTATTATTATTATAAATCAGTTAAAAAGTAATTTATGAAAGTCTCGGACCATTCTTTTTACTTTCACAATCCAAGATCATAGCTCAGAGATGATTCGTTTCTGTAACTTTCATGCACGCAAGATTATTGTATATTAATGTTCATCATTCGACGAAAGAAGTTTACATACAAGCTTCATCTTTTTCCTCTGAATATTTGGATTGTTGTACAGGGACTGGCACGGACCTCATGACACAATCAAGGGAACAAAACTTGAAACAACAATTAACACTTAGCAAGAAGAAAAAGATTAGTTTGTAATTCATTAAACAAAGAAAATGTAGTGTCGGTTGCTATGTTAAGTCTACACAGCTTATTCAAGCTTCTGGAAAAAGCCAATTTATTCGTTCATATGGAGTCATATTTTGACCTTGTTAATTATTCACTTGTCAACCCTGACTGTTTTTTTAATATGAGTGTATATGTGTACACTTATTATCCTATTCATCACATGTCTGTAATCTATTCCATCGTCAACATCGCCCGATCTACGTGACATTTAAATAAAGAGCCCCACAAGAAAAGGGCGATCAATTCGTGTAATAAGTTATTGATCATACTCAATAATCAATATATTTACAATGCAAAATTACTTTTCACTTATTTGAGGAATCATTTTTTTAAATATCCCCCCCAACATATAATTGGAGAAAAGTAAATGATTCATTGACGCTTAGTAACTTTAAATTGATTGCACAATGTTACAGATTGATTGAAGTTGAACATATGAACCACTGGATGAAAACTCAATATATAATTGAAACCCAAACTTTATGAGCTCATCACCCTCAAGGTCGTGGATATGAACATTACTGTACAGTTTTCGACAAAGATGAGATCAATATACAGTGTAGTCTATTTCTTGGTTGAAGTTAGACATTAACACCGTTGGATACCAACCGCCTCAGTGGTCTAATGGTTAAGCTCTGGCACGCGAGACCGATGGGTCCTGGGTTCAAATCTTTCGAGGCAAGGTCATGGATGCGCACTGCTGAGGAGTCCTACAATAGGACGAAAAGGCCGTCCAGTGCTTCCAGATTTTCCATGTGTTAAGTCTTGTCGATTGGACGCTATATTCGTTCCTAAGCTATTCTGATAACCCGCACACTAGAACTATACAGCGACCTGAACACCAGAAAGAAGAGGCAGAGTATGAGAGACACTTTACTCCAAGGTTCGTTTTTGTACAGAAAACATGGGTATTTATAGATGTTAACGTTTGTTAAATCAACATCATATTTCGGCCAATCCGTTAGCGACATATTATGCTACTGACCGATAGTAGCACGCCACGTTGGAATTCTAGAATGCTCCATCATGCTCTGATTGGCTAGGACTCTTCGGCTCCTTTTGGGCCTCTGGAGGCGCCGTTGAAGTTCTCCGAAAGCCGACTCAACACCATGGTGGTCTAACTTCAGTTGACTCATGATCTCAACCATTGGTATTTCTCAATAGTCAAATAACCGATATACCGTTCAAATAGCCAATCAGCGCTAGTCGATACTTGGAGAAGACTCGAGCATCTTCCCATGTATAAACTATAAATATACTAAGGTTTTTCTTATTGTGCTTCTTACTTCCATCTACCCTTGTTATTTGGATTATGATTTCTTTCCTGTTCAACAATGTTCTGTGATTTGGGGGCTTGTCGAGTGAATTAATTCCCAAAAACTAACTAAGCAATAAGAATAACTGAATTGTAATAAGAGAGAATTATAAAAGGTATATTAAAAATATCAATTATAAATCAACATACCATGACCATCCTTGATTTAGAATTTGTTCCATTAAACCAGCTTCTTTAATTCTATCACGTTGCCAATTTGTATAAGCTTCATTTGATGGAAGAGAACGTATTGGATTATGTGATTCCATAATTGGTGTATTATTTTGTTTAGAATCAAGTAGAATACTAACACCAATACCGTTTCGTCCTTTATGTAAATTACCTAACGCCTTAAATCAGTGATGTCAATAAATATGCATTTAAATAAGTAAATGTATTGAACATTTAGCTATTTATAAGTTAAACCACATACTCAGTCAACCAAGCAGTCAGTTATTATCAATATAATATCTGATATATAGGTGTATTGGTTCGATTTACCACCTCTTATCAGGATACTAAGATGAAATTATCAAGAGAAATAGTTGATTAGCAAAACTAGTAACTATATCAGCTGTCATAGAAACGATTAGGAATAGACAAAATGATTCGAGAATAAAGAATATATTGATGGAATAAAAAGTGTAAGTGAATATTCAAACTCAAGATCTAAGATAAAATGTAAATCTATATGCGCCATTGCAAATGATTCTAACCCATGTCACCCAATATCTCCAACTTTTGTTTACGGTAATCATGTAGTCATCTCTAGCGTTCTTCCAACTTACTCTTACAACAGTCAACAATGCACTTGTAAGAATGATGTAACTAATCAAGATCTATATGAAGTCCATCGTGATTGCTCAGTCTGTATTTTACATAATCGTTTAACTTTATCTAAACTACAGAATGATGATCAGTTGTGTCTTTATTGTATTAGCCACCTTAATAATGCTCATCTATATCTTCTCAAGAGATTGTACTAAGGATTGTCAGCCTTCGTTGAATATGCTCAGATTAATGAATTAACTTTTAATGATTCACATTTCTAAATTCATTCAATTTGTAATATCATTTAATAATCATCCACTACTTCATAATGAAATTGAACAATTTAAACAGACCCTTTATACTAATAGTAATGATTGTATTTGCTAGTTGCTAACCATTAAAAGTGTACCTAAGGTTTTAATAGAGAAACACAAACAATGTACTTTAACTCGGTGAAGAGGGTATATATATATATATATATATATATATATATATATATATTACTAAAATCTTCACAAAACCCCCTTCTTATAATAATCAACATATGCTCACTGGTGACTGGCTTCCAGATGTATATCCTGGTGTTCTAGTGAGAAGTAGTGACTAGTGGAGTTCAACCAGATCTGTTATGAGATAGTAACTCACTGAAGACAATGGTGGATATGTCGCTCAATTTCGTGGATTAGTTGAAGTTAGATATTAATACCGTTGGATGGCGGTCGGCTCAGTGGTCTAGTGGTTAAGTGCTCGCGCGCGAAACCAGTAGGTCCTGCGTTCGCATCCCGCGAAGCAGAGTCGTGGATGCGCACTGCTGAGGAGTCCCACAATAGGACCAAACGGCCGTCCAGTGCTTCCAGGTTTTCCATAGTGGTCTAGCTTTAGTCGACTCATGATCTCAACAGTTGAAATATGTATATATCCCTGATATCAATGCATGATGATCGCTCAATATTGTAAAATATGTATTATCAAGTTTTTTCGTAATATGTTCAGGGAACAAAAACAGAAGTAGTAGACAAGTACATACAGTAAGAAATCGATGAATATGGAATAAGAACAAAGTGTTTGTTCCCAAATAATAAGTTAAATCCAAATGTTAACTGTATAAGATTAACTCATGCTTAGCTACATTGGTCAAATTATGTTTGATCTTTAAAAAAAACTTGATTTACTGTTGGCAAAGTCAAGTCGATCACTAACTAGTTAGATAAACTGAAGTCTATTGTTGAGAAGTCTATTAGATGCTTTGTCTACAAAGCAAGAAATAATAATGTTTCTTTTTTTCCTTTGAATACAATGAATTCATTCAATATTCTGTTACTTTTATCTGAATTACAAACAATGAATTAAGTGTAGACCATTCAAATGTTGAATTAAAATGAGCCTATTTTGGGAAAGAAAAGTGACTTATGAACAAGTTTTTGTTAACTTTTAAAGCATGTTATCAATCAACATCAAGGTCTGCAGTACAAGCTGTAAACCACAAGTGGAGAAATTCGGACACTTCACTTCTACCTGAAGTTTGTGCTGGTGATGTCGTTTAGAAGAACGATTTAAGCTCAATGACCAAACCATCCAGCCCAGAGAACAAAACGCTATCTAAAATATGCACGTTATCACCCTTACTGTTGATATTCACTGAGCTGTTACCCTCTTCTTAACTTTTCTATGATGTTCTGCTTCCAAGATCATTATTTTTACTATAATAACAATAAAACTCTTCTGAAAGTCATATCTTTTCTCTTACTTCTAGTATGGATTATTAATATTGAGGTATGGTTACATATTAGTGATCCAATTTATACTATCGTAAATTTCGTTTTGTATTAGATGTCAGTCAGTCAGCTACAACGTAGCACCAGGCACATGTATACATCGGTCCAAGTTTCCTTACCTCAATTAGCACAAGATGAACATTGGATTCATAGAAATAGTTAATTCAATAGTAGTAATATATAAAAGAAAGGTTGCATATAAGGACATAGTACAGGAAGAAAGAATTAGTTCGTAGAAAGAAAGATATGAAGCGATTTTAATCTCTTAGTTTAAAGGAAGAAAGTGTATACACTGACGCCATTGTGATCGATTCTGAGCCATATCATCAAGAGTCTCCAACCATTGGTTACGATAGTCACATGGACCCCAACCAAGTAGTCTCCATCTACCAAAATGACTCAGACAAGAAGTTAGTGACTTTATGAACTGATGCCACGTTTTGGTTTGGCCGCACCCTTAATTTCTTCCAACCATCCCCAACACTACCGAGTATTGCACATCGTGGTAACCCGTGTTGTTGAAAGATAAAAGCTATCTCCACCGTCTATTCTTCTGCTTTATTGACCATAGCCTATTGATTAAGGATATTATAGTAGTGTTATAACATCCTTTTAGGTCTTCGCACACTACATTGGAGTTTTAGTCCTTATTAGTCATTATTAAATAATACTATTGGGTTCAATCTTTCTCATTACGCTGTTCGTGCCACCACGTGCAGAGGAATATTTGTAAACAAAGTGAACTCATTTGTGGTTATTATTTCAGAATCAGCTTATAAGTAACATTCATTTCATAACAACTGTTATCATTTTGTTGTTTTAATATATTATTTATATTGTAATTGTAATCTGTTACCTTTTGCTTTACTCTTTGTTTTGGTATATTATTAGCAAATTTGCGTATTGTTATATATTGAATAAGCTCTTTTACTGAGATTCACCACAAGTTATAACAGTAATAATTCAAAAATTTCTAGCAAAAGAGTTACTGAGATAAATATAATGAAATAAAGTGGATTTACTACTACCTTTTACAAACCATACAAATTTATTTAAGTCATTAATTAGTTTTAATTAAATATAGAAAATATAAATCTAACGATTAAAGATGATCAGACAAAACATTAGAAATAGATTAACCATTGAAAGATAGTTACTTGGTAAGTAAATTCATAATATTAATTAACATGTTCGGAAGCATAAAATTACTTATGTATTAATTTTTGTGTAAGATGTGGATAGAATGAGTAAATCAATAGATGCACTTGTTGTTCGGTTAACCAGATCATTATCATATTTTATTTTTATTTATTTAAACATAAGCATTTGTACAAGGGGGCACCAAACAGATATGCGCCACAGAAGTACGCCGGTTTATGTGAGGGCTAGGATACTACCCGAGTGCCCCAACCGAAGCAGGTGTTTTTAAAGGGACCACTCCCCGACCCTTTGTCCTCAAAGTGTAGCCCACAAAGCAGTGGAGCAACGTTAGGAGATACTGTCCTATGGTAGCCGGTGACCAACAATAGATTCATACGCCATTCATTCCCTTAAGATCCTGGAGCCCATGTGGAGCATTGGTTTGGAATCTGGGTTCTCTTACTCCCTTAGATGGATCCTTCATATCCACTAACCCGGTTAAGGCGCCGGATATTTGCTTTTCATCCTCTCGATTTCGTAAACGACAATTCCACCGCAAGAGTGACGTTTTTGGAAGTGTTTATATACATGCGGCCGTATGAAGGAATTTTCAGAGAGAGTGAAACAGAGCAAACTCTTTCTACGCTCGGCTGTTCCAGTACATGGTAACATGTTAAGATAGTAAACACTAATATGGGTTTATTTTCAATTAAATTGTAAAATAAGCAAACCTCTCCCCGTGAACAACGGATGTGTACATCTTTTTGACATTCTATGAAAGATTCTTCTTTGCTAATTTGTTTAAACCACTGACTACCGCATCCGCGTACATAATTTTCTAAGCTTTCTTCACCTCGTAAAGATATACCAGGTTTATGAATTATAGTTGGTTTTGTTAAATTAGGACGTAGTATTCTGTAACACAAAACAAATAGTTGATCATTATAACCAATTTTAAATCTCTCAGTTTCGACTTGAATTAACTGTTTAATTAAGGTGACGTACAATAGTTCCAGATCCAGAGTTTACCTGAAGCAAACTAGTGATTATTGATTCGTTTGAAGAACTCCTAAAGTAATCATGAAGTCACCTTGTGGATATTTATAAATTAATTGACTATCATACTGCATCAAGTAACGACTATTGGAGAATATTAGCCCCACAAAACCTGGATATATAATGTGGTTCGAAATGAAGCATGTAATTTAAAAGTGGAAAGTATGTGTACATTGAATTCTTTTGATGGCAAGTGTCTGTGAAACATTGCTCGTGTATCATGAAATGACCAAGTAAACAATGTTATATTCATGTATGAAGTAATAGGCAAAGGTGATTAGGATACGTATGACGCACGCCCACCCAACGTTTGTCTTGACGAATGGTATCTAATGGTGCGGAAGTTGGCTTTAGGAAGGCTAGAAATGGCCAAATCAAAGTGTAGCATCAGTACATGAAGTCGTTAACAACTGAACTGACGCATAAAGGCATATCTATACTACCTAGTTGATATATTAATAATAACCGCTAGACATTGGGCGATAAGAATCAGAATTATTCAAACTGGCCCAGACTCATTCTCTTTTTATCTTATGATTCTTAAGTTTTGTTATTCCTACAAACACATCTATTCAGTCTGCTTTTCCTAATCATGTTCTTATTAGTTGGTCTTTCTTATTATCACTACTACTAAAATATTCAGTTTCCTTTTCGTTATATTCATCTTGTCTGACTGGTGTGGTTTGAGTACTTGGCTAACTCATGCTTGTAAAGAAATTCCTGTTAATTATGTCCGACAGACTGAAATGTCCTAGACGGAAACCAATATAGCGTGTGAATTTAGGTATTGATTGTAATTATACACGCTATTTAAGTGACTTAGTGCTCTCCCTCAGTTTTGTGGCATCTAAACATTCTTTTAATATGAAGTTTAATTTGCCTAAGTTTCGATCACTTAGATAATACAAATTTAAATATATAAATTTCAGGACAAGATAGAGTTAGTAAACAAAGATCACCAAGGATTACTGGGTCCTGAAAATTGTTCATGTTTCCAGTTCTAAGGTTTTAAGATTTATAGCCTAGGTTTCAGTGTCTGATTAAACCCAGGACATTAAGACTTTGTTTTTTATGATAATGTTTTAGTTAAGACAAAATCATTGGCCAAAATCTAGCAATATTAGTACGTTAGATTCACGTGTCGATATTACTGGTGAGCATCCACCTCATTCGCGGCATGTTTTAATCCACAAATTGTATTTTTAACATTAAATTCAGGAATTTAGTATAAAACAAAAGCACTAACACATATTCACATTCGTTTATTATTTTTGGTCAAGTGATTTGTGAAGGTTAAAATTTAAAATAAGTATTAGAACGGAATATGAACATCTAGTGAATTACTGAAATCTCCTAAAACATTCAAACAAGTAATCAATATTGTATCTTCATAAAATAACGTAATGGCCATTTGATACAACTGAGGAGACAGCCGATTACTTGTTACTGCATAACGAAACAAAGACTGATAGGGCCAGAAAGACGATGATAAGACTGAAGATAGAGATTTACTATACATCACAAATAAATCAGTAACGGACCTAACTACTGATTCAAAAGTTGTATCCAAATACATCCACTGATATATGATTTACTCATCTAGTCAATATGAATATTTCAATATATTTAGATAGGCAGTAGTTGATACAAGTTTATCAATAACTAGGTGAATGTAAACGGTTAGTAGCGTCGATAGATTCAACCACATTAGCTAACAACATAATAAATTATCGTATCGTACACTTTATTCCTGACACTTACATGCCGCTTCTTTCATTCCACTACTCAGGCACTTATGAACAAAATCTATGATCATCGTAGTTATGGTGCATGTTTTATAAATGACAGATGTGATTCTTATCCCACCAACTAATTCTGACTGGAGTGAAGATGGATTCACATGGTAAATCCTAGAAACGATCAGAAACACAACACATATTCCTTTAATAAGTAGTAATGTTTCTAAATTACTTCATTCGGTTAATCAACTGATTTTTTAGTCTGGTAAGTCATCTAATGACCACAATAATAGAGTTACAGGCATCAATTTATTTGTTGACAGTTCTTTTTAAGTACCATTAGACTGTCTCCTTAGTAGCTAATGACAAGAATCAAAATATGTATACAACCACACAAAAACGGGATGTATACACATATAAAGCTTACTGAGACATCTGAGGTGATTCTGAAATGTTTGAGTTACCGTTATCAACATCATTTGAAGTTACTGATGTTATTGATTTTCTCCATGTTTTATTTAAAATACTTGGATCCTGACTAGAAATACATTGGACTGATGATTACGTCTTGCATTTTCAATAGCCTCATCTAAACGTAGTCTTATAGAAGGTGGTGGTAGACCTGGACATGTAATAGTTTTGAGTTTTTTCGCTGGACATGTTGATTTGAGTCTTCGGGGAGGTCGTAAATTCCCGACTGATTCTAGAAGTTGCATATTCCAGTCTAAAAGAAATCACAAATGAAATTTTACAACACCATTGCCAAGACTAACACAAGCCATCAAGCCTCCTGTCCTTTCCAAGATGTAACTGAAACTAATCTGTGCATTTAGGTGATCACCGCGAAGATTATTGTCATATTAGCACACTCACAGGATCTTCTGGGAGAAAGCTTGTTTCAGTCATGGAAGGGTAGCTTGACGAAAATCATCTCATGGCTGACGAATGTTTGTAGAGCATTAAATTTTATAAACTTGGTTTTTATTAATCTTAGCTCGAATATATGTCGAACAGAACAGAAACAGAAGTGAAATCGTCTGTATACTTTTAGGAAAATACTTTTTCATACAACATAATGTGTTGCGATGTGTAAACCTTGATGTACATCAAGGTTTCAAACACCGTACGTTACATATAATTGTCGACAAATTCCCCCCAAATATAGGACGTAAGGTGGAAAAACCGACATTTCCACTAAATGACTGACGTGGAGACGGAAAAGCGACATTTCCCTCTTATTTACGCTTTCGACCCCTTTATTTCCCCTTTGTTATCCTTTATTTTCCCTTGATTGGATGCTTGGGGTGTAACTTTCTAGGTACCTAAAACAGTAAACATTCGAAGCACTCTCAACAGAACAAACAGTGTTTCCATTCATCCAAATTAAGTAGTTCAGTGTATATGAAAGTGGTTTGACTCGTTTTAAGTACCTTGTGACAGTGCTCTTCTGCCTCGCTTATATGTACACATGTACATACGTAAAACAGTTTTTTTTTCTTCTCTCAATACCGGGAAAAGTCTTCAACAGGGTATTGTTAAACAGGATGAAGGACTGCGTAGATGCCAAACTTCGTGACCAACAGGTAGGATTCCGTAAGGATAGATCGTGTACAGACCAAATCGCAACTCTACGGATCATTGTGGAACAATCAATTGAATGGAATTCATCACTCTACATCAACTTCATTGACTACGAAAAGGCATTTGACAGCGTGGACAGAAAAACACTATGGAAACTTCTTCGACACTACGGCGTGCCTCAGAAGATAGTCAATATCACACGGAATTCCTATGATGGATTAAACTGCAAAATTGTGCATGGAGGACAGTTGACAAACTCGTTCGAGGTAAAGGTTGGTGTCAGGCAAGGTTGCTTACTCTCACCCTTTCTCTTTCTCTTGGTGATCGACTGGATCATAAAGACGTCAACATCTGAAGGGAAACACAGGATACAATGGACATCTAGGATGCATCTGGACGATCTAGACTTCGCAGATAACCTGGCCATTCTATCCCAAACGCAACAACAAATACAGGAGAAGACGACCAGGGTAGCAGCAGTAGGTCTCAATATACACAAAGGGAAAAGCAAGATTCTCTGATACGACACAGCATGCACCAATCCAGTCACAATTAACGGAGAAGATTTGGAAGATGTAAAAACCTTTACATATTTGGGCAGCATCATTGATGAACAGGGTGGATCTGATGCAGATGTGAAGGCGCGGATCGGCAAAGCAAGAGCAGCATATTTACAACTGAGGAACATCTGGAACTCAAAGCAACTCTCAACCAACACCAAGGTCAGGATTTTCAATACAAATGTCAAGACAGTTCTACTGTATGGGGCGGAGGCCTGGAGAACTACGAAAGCCATCATCCAGAAAATACAGGTGTTTATTAACAGTTGTCTACGCAAAATACTTCAGATCCGTTGGCCGGACACTATTAGCAACAACGTACTGTGGGAGAGAACAAATAAGATCCCAGCGGAGGAAGAAGTCAGGAAGAAGCTCTGGAAGTGGATAGGACACACATTGAGGAAAGCACCCAACTGCGTCACAAGACAAGCCCTCACATGGAATCCTGAAGGCCAAAGGAAAAAAGGAATACCAAAGAACACATTACGCCGAGAAATGGAAATAGACATGAGAAAAATGAACAAGAATTGGATGTAACCAGAAAAGAAGGCCCAGGACAGAGTGGGTTGGAGAATGCTGGTCAGCGGCGTATGCTCCATTGGGAGTAACAGGCGTAAGTAAGTAAGTAAAAACGTTTATTCCATTTGATGCGGTGTTTGATACCAAACACAAAACAAAGCGTTTAAATTACCACAGTCTCCAGCTTATAAGGATATATACACATTTTGGATTTCCCTTTTTTGATGGCTTGATAACCATGTGTATACACATTAATGCTGACTAGGAAAAAGTGGTATTTATAAATGCCACTTATAAATGAAGTTTATAACTATAGTCCTAAACTTCTTGTACATATGACATGTAAAGGAACAAATTTGCCGATGGCATTCAAAGTAAATTAGTACGGACAAATTGTAAATCTCTGTGTAATATATTGCCAAGGTTTATAAAAATTACTGAAATAATTTCATGAACTTACAACATAGAGACTTCAGGATGAAAAACGTCGAATAAATTTGGTGTTCAGAGTTTAACAACTAGTAACCCAAACAACCTTTTGTGAACCTTGTGGGCTTGACCATAAAAATTTATGACCTTGACATTTTGAAAAATAAGTAGTTACCCAGCAACACGCTGAGTACTCAGTAATAAGGATATCAGGACGCTGAAGCTTGTTTTTCAGTGATCTATATTCCCCTCGAAAATTTTTATTGATAAAGCTGATCCCACTTGTTTTTGTATAGCGTTCCACTCATCGACCACTTGATGAGAACATATTACCATTTTTAGTTTATTCAGTTCTCAAGTCTTCTTGCTGTACCTTCGGAAATGATTGATTCTGGAGATCAGAATAACACACTGAGTTGGTTCCCACATGATGAACATGCTTGAAAGTGTCCACATCCTTAATGCGGCATGCTTGGTCCCAGTACTCTAGGTGTTGCCTCAAATTGGTGGAGTATAAAATATGTCAAAACATCTGGTTCTTGCAGGAACTTATGATTCCTTTGTATTCGATTGCCCATTGATTATGAATTTCGAATTCAAAACCCAGGGTTGTTTACTAAATGACTGGAAGAACGTCATAGTAAATCCTGTCTTCAAAACAGGTACGAAACATGGACCTGAGAATTACTGACCCGTTAGCCTAACTATTGTGTTTGTTAAAATTTTAGAAAATATTATTCGCAAGGAGCTTAATCATTTCAAATTCCTTTCAGCCTACACAGGAGCGTGCCCATTCCCTCATGTCTTTATTCATACCAGGCCAACAAAGTCGCTCTGCTATGAGCTTGATGTTTGCACGAACATTGGATGAGAAAGTTTGCACAACATATTTAGGACGTTGTGTCGATAACGTTTCGGCGGGATTGGGCGATCCCTACTTGTGGATGTGCCGCATAGTAAGGTTCCTTTACCTGTTCCCATCTGTTTAATACGTAGTTTTAAGGTTGCTGGATATAACTCGTGCTGAAGATCAATGTCTTCTTTTGAAGCTGGGCGATTTTAAGAAGGTCAATTCCTCGGAAATTTTTCAAAGAAGTTGTACGTGATAAAGCTTCCGCAACTACATTGTCTGTTCCAGAAATGGGTTTTATATCTGAATTGGACTGCGAAATATAGTCCAGTTGTCAATACTCTCGAGGTGAGTACATGTTTGAAGATGGGCTTAAACAGAAGGTAAGACGTTTATGATCGGTGAAAAGAGTGAATTCTCGGCTTCCAAGTGTTGAAAGTGCCGTACTGCACAATACACGACTACGATTTCCCTCCAAAAAGCGTTTTACCTCGATTCGATGTCTTGCAACCGTCTCGAGAAGAATGCTGTAGGTTGTCGGCTGATCTTTATCCAATGTTGTTGAACTTCGATTACTTGTCCGGATGCGTCTGTTGCGGTACTATTTGGTATGTGAGAATGGTCGCGTTCGCGAACATTTCCCCAGCTCTAGAGGGTGGTATTCTCTCGTTGTCGTCCAAAATAATGAATTTCTCACTCCTACAAAATTGGTCTGTTGAAGGTCTCGTGAAAAAGCACAATTCATTATGAATCGGTGACGAAAACTTGTAGAATTACGGTCTACTATGATATTAGTACTGCTCTAATAATAGATCTAACGCCAAAATTGTAGATTTGTCATGATATAACTGCCTAATATATAGGATCTTACGTGGAAGTCACACCATCGACTACACCAACCCACTGTATCCTATCAGTTACCAATACATGATGTCGAACAAGGTTAGGCTAGAGAAGGAACAACATATTTAATGTGAATAGAAGACAAAAGGTGACATTCAGAGGGATCATGCCTGCATGTCCGAGCCATGCTCTCCGATCAACTCCAATTAATTAAAATCCTTGTTCCTGCCTTCTCCATCGTTAGGCATTTTCCCGCGTTAAATATTGAATACCTATTTTTCGAGCAGTCTTATATTCAGCTTTTGGGATTGTATGGTTATGGTTCAACGCCACTACAAACTTACCAGATCTTTGAATGTGCTTAGTTGCTTGACTGTGTTCGGTTCTGGATAAACCGAAATGGTCGCCACCTTACTTTTCAGAGGGCGGATGCCTTGATCATCTAAATTGTGTCCGAGTAAAGCTAGAGAATTGGTGGCGATTAGACATTTCCGAATATTTACAGTGATGTCATGCCTTTGGAGTCGTTCGAAAACAAGGCCCAGTTGCTGAAATTAAGAAGCTCTGTCCAGGCTTGCGATCATGCAGTCATCTGCATATATATGTACTTAGTTTAGACTTAGAAAATTGTCGTCGATGAATTCCTGGAAAGTTTGTTCAGTGTTTCCTAAGCCAAAACGTATGAATAAAAAATCATAGAGTCCGATGAGGTGATGATAGTGGCGTTAGGAATATCGTCAATAGCCATGTTATATGCTTTGACCAAATCGATTTCTGAAAAAAACAGCTGCGCTGTTTAAGGTAGCTTTCGAACAGGAGTGGTTTTCGCATTCGGTTACTAATTACCACCAGTTAGATGCTAGTCGTTGCTGTATCTTTTTGGGGGCCATGTGCAAGCGAGATCTATATCGGCTGTCCGATGACTGATTAATTCGTGTGGTCGTTTTTGGCCAAACCTAGCTTTTCGGGAGCTAGTCGGCACGCTTTTGAAGACACATGTGGTTCTGTAGTCGTGACGTGTTGTGTAACATTATTGATAGTGTTCAATATAGTTCGCTACGTTTGCCGGAAATCCGTCTGTGAGTCGATTGTGTGCTTAAAAGTGACTGCGAACAACCTAAAACCGGAAAAAAGTACACAAACAGATAAATTAATATTTCCGTTTACTAACTTTCGCCCACGCGTACTAGTGAGTAGATTATAGTGTTGTATCAGGTTTATACCAACGACTTGTACAGAAATATCTGAATCAACCAAAACCCAGGGAATGGGTTTGCGTGAACCCATACCTCTTACCATACGAAACAATCGGTTTTCCATTTGACGCCGGTAAGTTGAGAACTGTTTCGTGCAGCCAGTCGTTAGAACTTGCACTAGTGTTGACGGTTTGGGGAACTTTCGTCATCACATCAGTGATGTACAACGGACGGCTGTTTTCACCGGCTGTGGTTGCTATTACGCGTGCTGGTTGTGAAGTTTCCTGAATGGTTTTTCGTGTCAGTCGGTTTGAAGCCCGGAAGACTTCAGGGTTTCGTGTAGTTTCCAGAAGAACCAGTATATTTTATTGTGGTACCAGCAACCATAAGGAGTATCTGTCTCTCGTGGTCTATCGAAAAATCGTCATGATAAGCTTTCTCGAGGAGTCTGGGAGCGTTTGGCGGATAAAAAGACAACGCGTCAGATTGTGACAGACGTATTTGACGTCATTCTGTGTTGTTCGAGGCTTTTTGATAAGCCTTGGTAATTAGAATGACTTATTCGGTTCCTAAGTTATTCTGGTAACCGGCAAGCTGGAAGTACGGAGCGACCTGAACTCAAGAGAAAAAGGAGCAAAATAAGCGAAAACACTTTATTCCAAAGGTTCATTTTTGTACAGAAAACATGGGTATTTATAGATGTTAACATTTGTTCCTCCTTTAAGGCCTCTGGAGGCTCCGTTATAGTTCTCGGAAAGCCAACTTAACACTTCTTTGATATGACGAATCTCGACGTTAAGAATTCTGGCGATCTCCAGAAATCGACAAGCAAATTCAACCAGATCGTCCGAAACGTCTTTTTGAAATGAGACAAGGGCTGGCTACAGCCGATGGGGACATTTGACGAGAAAAGCTTTCTAAATAGACACTTGCGAAAGGTCCTTTCACTACTGACTCCATGTATTAGTATCAACGATTCTGTTGCCCAGTCATGTTACAGCTCTATGCTGTGGAAGAGTTTGTCTAACCCTTGTCAGTCGTTTAGGTCTCCACGTTTAACTATAGCCTTTTCTAAAGGTTTCATGAGGTTCAGAGGCATCACTGGTAAACAAATTAGGTGTGACGTGTATGTTGAGATCGCGTAGTAATGCATTCACTACTGCGAGGAATTGTGTGCGAAGTTTTGTCACGCCGCACTCGTGGAGGTCGGCTTCTGCGTAGTAGATCGAGGCTTCTCCATTACATGGCCGGAATAGCATTAGCTGAAATGAGGGTAGCGTAGGACTCATGATCTTAAGTAATTTAGGAGTTTGTTCGGTCGTGAAGAATTTAAAGCATAGCAAGGAACGAGAAAAAAATATTCGCAAATATATAAACAATATCACAATATATAAAAATGAAAGTTAAGAAATAACACATAATGTTCCAACAAGGAAAAGACCCATAGTTTATTGCTTGATGTACAAGATCATGTCACTCTCACCACTAAAGGTGTAACAGGTATTCGCAGTTCGACAATGTCTCCACATGTAACACCTATATGGTCGAAGTATGCCAACCTAATCAAATAATTTGTCAGAAGTGCAGAGGTTCGAAAATGTATTTGGAAGTCTATCGATATGTCGGAAAGTGTCTGATCAAAGCTGGCTAACGGTTGCAAGTAATGGGTAGTATGGAGTATCCACTGGTTATCTGGTGAGAGTGCGTGACCGTGCATCTTCAGCTAAATGTGTTCATTAACATTATTAAGGTTAGCACCAGGCTTTTGAAGACTTACAAAACTATTTCTTTTGGGGCTTTATGTTCCGCTACTGTTTCTTCATGAAAGTCGTCCACATTTTATTCCACCTTCGGTTATTTGTCGATCTGTGACAACCAAGTATGTTTGGCAAGTTCACCGTTACCTTACTTTACGAACGCTTTCATTGACTTTTACTAAATTAATCTCATAAGACAAACAGGTTAACTGAAAATCATAAACGGAAAGCAGAGAACACGCTACTTGGTTGTATATCGTATGCTATTTGTGATCTCCACCAAGCATGTCCGGACGCTTGCGCTGAATCATCAACAGAGTTTTGATATATACATCTAACGAAATTTCCTGTGTTTTAATATGATAATGTTTCACCTATGTTATCCAACACGGAGTTATTTTCGATGAATTAGTCAAAATGTACGTTCAGTAAGCGACATATTCAAAAGGAGTACTTTACATATATTTGCATAGAATACTCCATTTTAGAGAGGAATGTCGACTTTTCCCCTTGATTCACAATGTCACGTCCGTTGTTTTCCCCTATTTCGCCTTTATTCACTATTTAGTGGTTTATTGGATCCTTCTGAGATAACAATCACTAGTGAATTCACTTGATTAACGAAAGTTCCTCTACACGTAGTCCCACCGAAGGCATGACGACAAAGTTAAATCGGATGGCATTATTCAATGGTGATAAGAGCCAAAACTGCAACACAGTGTAGAATGGCCCAGAAGAATGTTATAACATTATTATAACCTTTAGTTACAGGGTGTGGCCAATAAAGTTGAAGAACAAATGACAGAGATAGCCTCTTACTCGGATAACACAGGTAGCGCACGTATGGAAAGAGCCAAACTAATATATTCGTTTTGCAAATGATACAGAGAAACAATGGATAAATGTGGTTGCACACAAGGTGTCACGAATAAATAAATAAAAATTTGGTCCTGATCTTTTTGTCACAAAAACCACTGAATATACATGTCAATATTGTCAAATACTGTAACTCACTGCTGGCTGAAGTAATCCAAGCAATTACTGGGGAGTCCTTCAGAAGATATATTCGAAAGGAGTAGGAACGGTATCTCATCATAATCTACTAATGCTTCACGTTGTTTTTTTAAATAAACCTGTGTTTTAACCTGAGGGCATCTGTGATCTACTGTTACTTGATTCGGGATCCTGTTGAGTAAAAAGTTCTTCTACTTCAAGTCAGCGCCGGGGTCATAGATGGAGGATAAACAAATCGCGATCTAATAAACTCAGAGTAGAAATACGTTTTTCTCTACGAGTTGTCACTGATTGGAATTTCATACATGGACAGGTGGTATCAACTCCATAGGTAAATGATTCGTATGAAATGCCGTATTTTCACTGAAAAACAAACTGCAAGGATAACGAAAGCCAATCTGACAAGTAACCTTGTTTGAGATTTGAACAAGCATTCCGCCCTATATAAATAGGACGTAACTTTTGGAGTCTGGTTTTGTGGTTTTCTGCCTTAACTAGGTTTGCGTGTAGTCAGAATGTACCTTGTCTGTTTGAGGACTATTAAGGGTAGTAAGCCAGGTTATTCAATGGGGAAAAGGACATGGGAATATGTGAGTCGACGACTCCGTGTTTTAAAGACAGAAGGCCTACGGCATATGTTATTCCTTTTCTAGTATGCTTCTGTGAGTGTCCAGTCTTCTCTTGAAAGAGTCAATTGAAGGTGCGGACACCACTGCTTCAGGCAGCAGGTTCCAAGTATTGATGACTCGGTGTGAAAACCTGTATGCCACGGGTATTTTGTTCGTTCTTGGCTTTTCTACTCGCCTGCTATGTCCTCTGAGGTGTCCCGATCTAGTGGGAAGAAAGAGAGAGAATAAGTTAGGTCCGAAATCATTTCTCAGTATTCTGTACATCAATATTAGATCTCCCCTTAGTCTGCGATAGGACAGAGTAAAGAGGTTCAGTTTTTCAAGCCGCTCTTTATATGATAAACCCGGAGTTCCGGAATTGCACGCGTAGCTGCCCTCTGTACCTTTTCTATTATGTCCGAGTCACCTTTAAACAGGGGCTTGCAGCCTGAACACAGTTCTCTAACTTAGTTCTCACTAAGGATGTGTATAATGTGGTGAACATGGTAGTATCAAGCTTAGTGAATGTCCTTTTTAAAGCCCAGAGGGTTCGAAACCCCTTAACTGCGACCTCCCGGCAATGGGCCGTCGTCTTAAGATCATTGCTCACTGTCACCCCTAGGTCCTTATGAGACCGGACTACGGGTAATGACACATCCCCTATGTTGTACGTATTAACCTTTGAATCCCCCAAGTGCATGTAGACACACTTTTCCGAGTTGATAGGCATTAGCCACTCTTTAGACCAGTTTATCATATTATTTAAGTCCGCCTGAAGAGTAAATGCGTCTTTGTCTCCAGTTATTACTCGCCAAATTTTTACATCGTCAGCGTATAATAACATTGGAGACTGTACTATACTTGTAAGATCATTAACGTACATTATAAAAAGTAAAGGACCTAAGACGGAACCTTGGGGTACTCCACTAAGTACTGGTCTCCAGATGGAGCACTTGGAATTTATTCTTACTTTTTGCCTACGACCTACTAGGAAATCCTTAATCCATTTTAAAAGAGGTCCGGCAATACCAAGGTTTGCCAACTTCAATAGCAGCCTATTAGTTGGCACCTTGTCAAAAGCCTTACTGAAGTCTATGTAGACAACATCCACTGAGTTTCCGTTGTCTAGCGCATTAATCCAGAGCTCCCTAGCTATAAGGAGGTTCGTTGTACAGGATAGACCCTTTCTAAAACCATGTTGTGCCATGTTCAGCAAGTTATTGGTTTCCATAAATGCTGTTATGGTCCGTTTGATTATTCTTTCCAGTATTTTAATTACAACACTGGTGAGGCTTACGGGTCTGTAATTTGATGGAACTTGTCGTGGACCTGTTTTATGTATGGGAGTGACGATTGCGTCCTTCCAGTCCATAGGTAACACACCTTGGTCAAGTGACATTTTGAATATCACAGTCAGTGGGGCTGCGATATATTGGGCAATATGTCTCAAGATTTTAGGGTGTAGTTCATCTGGTCCTGTTGACTTCTCCATGTTTAGGGTGCTAAGAGCCTTAAGCACATCGTTTTGGTCGAAGTCCACGGTGAGCAGCTGGTTTGTTGACTCTGTAATTGGGTCTGGTTCTTTCTCTAGAGGAGGTTCCTGAGTGAAAACTGCCCCAAAGTAGTCAGCCATAACCTCAGCTTTTTCCTGATCTTCCTCTATCATTTCAGATTCACTTCCTACTTTAATTAGGTTGGGAATCCAATGATGAATCCTTGTTCTGTAGTTTATGTACGAGAATATCCTCTTGGGCTGCTTGAGTGCAGATTCTGCCAGCTGCATTTCATATTTTCTTTGCGCTTCCCGAATTTTAGTTATACACTCGTTTCTTATCGATCTGTAACGTTCCATCGTACCCGCTGTGCCAAGGCGGATGGCAACATCCCAGCATTTCTTCTTTTGTCTTAGTAAGCGTCGAATATCCCGCCCTATCCAGGGATGTCCGTGCTTCTTTTTCTTTGGGACAGTCCAGGGTATGTATGGTTGAGTTACCCGATTGTATAACTGCCTGAATAGAGTCCATGCCTCTTGTACTGATGCCTTTGAGTCGATTTCCCAGTTCTCAGCCGATGCTGCGGAGTTAATTGCCTGCATATCTGCCTTCCATATGTTAGGACGGGCCGGCGCAATTGTTTGACAAGCAATCTCAGCCATGAATTTGAATAAGATGACTGCATGGTCACTTCTCCCAAGTGGTGGGAGAAAAGCCGTTTGACCAACGTCATCACCGTGTGTGAAGACTAAATCTAAAAGAGAAGAGTTTCTTAAGTCGTATCTTGTGGGATCTCTAATGTGTTGGAATAATGCTAGTCCAATCGAGGTTTCTAACAGTTTGGAGTCGAACGACGATATGGATGACCCTACTTCTAAGTTAACCCAGTTTATATATGGTGCATTAAAGTCGCCTACTACAAGGCTTTTACCGTTGTTACACCAGGACTTAAGTTTACTAAGGAGAAAATCATCTGCTACACATTCTGGACTGCGATAAACTACAACTACTTCAATATCTTGCCTTCGGCATTTCAACTTACATCTCACCAGTTCACATGTCCCTGAAACATGTGCTACTGTCTCAGCTAATCTTATGGTTAGGGTACTTTTGGTGTACAGAATAACCCCGCCTCCCCTTCGGTTTAATCTATCAGCCCTACTGGTTATGAAACCAGTCAATTGGATTTCACTATCTAATACTTCTGACGTTAACCAAGTTTCCGAGACAGCGATAACGTCCGGTTTTTCTTTGTCCACCACTGACTTCAGCTCCGCCATTTTATTTAGTAGGCTGCGAGCATTTGTGTAGCACACTTTTAAGTCTGTGGAGAGCTTTCCCTTGCCACCCAGAGAAATCCATAGCAATTAGGAATAACACGAGCGTGAGATGGAGATAATATAATAATCGAAATAAAAATTTGTTAGTTTAAGGTTTCGGACGCGTTGCAGTTTTCTTTGGAGGGGCTTAGTTAGTTCTTGCGAATTACCAGTGTAATTACATTGGTTGTATCACATGTTGTTAGCGGGACATAGACTGGATTAAAGCATGCTCAATGCACGATTGCTTTGGTGCACGCTGATTGGCTAATTCCTGTTCAATCAGCACTAGTCTATAGTTGGAGAATACTCTAGAATCTTCTCATGTAAAAACTATAAATATACTAACGTTTTCTCTATTGTGCTGCTTACTTGCATCTTACTTCCATCTAACCTTGTTATTTGGAATATGATCTCTTTCCTGTTCAACCGTCTTCTGATTCGGGGACTTGTTGAGTGGTTTGGTGTCCAAGAATACTAAGCAATAGGAATAGCTGGGTCATAACTGTAAGAAAGAGATTATAACACATGTCTACTGATAAAATTGCATTGCCTGATACTAATGCTTAAATAAGGGAATAAGCGATAAAAACTTCCGAATTGGGATATAAGAAAATCATATGTAATAGCATATACTGTGCGAAGTCAATTGACAAATGGACATCTAATTGTATAAAGACAACCTAATGTTCTATAGGTCGTTATCTACAAAGAAATCAAGCTAGAAGCAAAATGGTGGAAAAATAGGATTCCAGAATCGGAGATGGAAACGAGGATGAAGAAAAAATGAATATTAGTGTTCTGTGAATGTACTACAGTTAACGCAAATTTCACTCAACCATTGTGGTTCATATTAACCTAACATAGAATTTCTTCACATTTCCCGTATATGTCACACTCTGTCTTTGTGTGCTTAAACATCTCGTTGTGCATGATTTATTGGGAAATTTAGAACAAGTAGAAAGTTATTGTTATGCTTTCTAGTTGTTCGCATCTAGAATGTATAGAAGGTTGATGGCCTTCAGACTTGCTGTGATATGAACATCTGAATAAACCAGGTTCTTCCTCAAGCTTAGACTGAAGTCAACACTCAGTTTATTATCACTTGCCCATGTCCGTATAAGCGGGCATTAATTCATCGAAATATGCACTAAGAACTAAAAACTAAAATAATGCCTCTTAACTCACCGTCCCTAGTATATGTTCACATGATCATTGCTTTTTGATTACCGAACTTTCTTGCCAACTGCCTCTAGTACTTTTTGTATATTCAAAAAACCTAGTATCAAATATCTTAGATGGGGAGTTTTATCATACGCTTAACCTATACGTATGATCATTTTGCTAACTACGCGTTAACTCTTTAATCCTCTTCCAAATCTCGTCCACGAAATAAGTTTTCAGATCCCTATACAATTACTTAAAATCTCTTTCAGTTATTTGACTATATGGGTAGTCAACAATCGTCAAATGCTTATATGGTACCTCTTAAACTAGACGAGTTGCATTATTACAATCTACCTGACGCTTATATGGTTATTACTATATTTGAAAAATTCCCATATTATGATTTAGAACAATATTGTTTTCGATTAGATCCTCATCAAGCTTTACTCTAATATACAGTATTGTATTTATATGCATATATGAAGTTATTAAACCAATTAAGGCAGTTTATGAGTCATTGATAACAATAGAATAGACTACATAAATAAACATACTAAGTAAAAAGTACAAATTGGTAGTGTGATGAGAGGTGTACCAGTTGTGATAAGAATAACAAAGTGTTCAGATAATTGGACCGTAGACACTTATTACGTAATTTTAAAACTTTTATGAATGTTATTTCAGTGTCTATATTTTTCTAGTCATTGACCTAGTTCCCATTATGTAACATTGATTGAAGCCTTTATTATTGCTTATCTCAACTAGTACACCTTTCATCACACTATCAATTTATACTTTTCACTTATTTATGTAATCTGTTCCACTGTTATCACCATTGTATCATAAACTGCCCTGACTGGCTTAATAATTTTTTATATGCATACAAATACATTACTGTATATTAGAGTAAAGCCTGATTAGGATCTAGTCGAAAACAATATTGTTCGCTTATATATGTTATTATGTTACATAGAAATTACAAATCGAGCTAGGAAAATTATATAATCACAGGATTTTTGAGAACTGGGTTTTGTATAAACTGTGAATGTATGTATGTGTTACTATCCTGATCTCCAAATCAGTTACCATCTTAATAGTTCGATGCACTAATATAAACAGACTACAAGTAACATGTGACCTTGTGTGTCAGTGTATTACGAACTTTCTACATTTTTTAATAAGGCTACAATAGCGAATCAAAATAGAGGTCAAAAGGAATCACAGTAGAGGTGTCTCCCTAAAAAAGTAAACACTAACTCATATGTTCTAGATAATTCCGAGGAAAGATTGGTTAATTAAAAGGCTAAGAAAGGCCAATAGCATAAGTAAAATCCACTTCTTGTGTTTTCCTTTCGCTATTCTTCTGAGCTTTATTGATTCTTACATGTTTAGCTAATGACTAGTTCGTATCACTTATAAATACATGTGCACTAAATTAAAGTATTTGATTGTAAATTTAATCTCAATAAATTTGATACCTACCTACCTTACAAATCGTAGATTATTTCAGTAGTGTAACGTTTCACTTTTCTCAAAGTGCTACAGGTTGATGAACTTGATGCATACAGTTGTCATGTCCATCTTACTAATTATGTTTAGATGTTACCATGTTCTGAAACAGCCGAGCGTAGAAAGAGTTCGCTCTGTTTCACTCTCTCTGAAAATTCCTTCATACGGCCGCATGTATATAAACACTTCCAAAAACGTCACTCTTGCGGTGGGGTTGTCGTTTACGAAATCGAGAGGATGAAAAGCAAATATCCGGCGCCTTAACCGGGTTGGTGGATATGAAGGATCCATCTAAGGGAGTAAGAGAACCCAGATTCCAAACCAATGCTCCACATGGGCTCCAGGATCTTAAGGGAATGAATGGCGTGTGAATCTATTGTTGGTCACCGGCTACCATAGGACAGTATCTCCTAACGTTGCTCCACTGCTTTGTGGGCTACACTTTGAGGACAAAGGGTCGGGGAGTGGCCCCTTTAAAAACACCTGCTTCGGTTGGGGCACTCGGGTAGTATCCTAGCCCACACAAACCAGTGATAATTACTACTAGGAAAATTACTTCCACTTCAACGCTCATTCAGACCAATCATATTCACAATCATTCTATAAAATTCGTTTCCATTTCTTTTATACTACGCCGCTTATATATTCCCCTTTATCCTCATTTACCGTATATCAATTTTCAACTTTCTAGCAGCTCACCTATGGTTGAAACCCTGTCCTATCTAAGCGATCTCAAGTCACTGACTGGTCGAAGATTAAATGCTACCAATAAATACGAGTTATGAACCAGTCTTTCTGAAACCAAATGTGCATCTCAGTCTGGTTTTGCTGGCGTTAGTGTCACACTAAGCGATGGAACTAAGGCAGCACTAATCAACTAGATCCCCACTAACAGTCGACTATGTAATTTCAGACTAGAAAGCTCCATCAAATTGAGAAGAAATCGGTGTGATAAATTATATCCTGCTGTCATCTCTACCTAAGCTCTAATTGATTACAGCCCGAATAGGATCAAGCTCTTTTGCCACTAGTTAACTGTTCTACAAAAAGTGCGTTCAATAGATATTGTAGTACTAGCCGGAGACTTGAATGCTCAGGTAGGGCGTCTAGGCACAGACGAGAGTCGTTTATGTGGCTGATGGGGACTTTTTGGTCATAGGTTAGATAACAGGGACTGTCCACTGCAACTTTGCGCAGACTACAACCCGTTTCCGGCTAACATTAACTACCGGTACAGCTATCGCCGATGTTTTTCCTGGTAGGCTAGTTATCGACCCACCAAGAGATAATGATGGACATTGGCTTCAATTGCATGGTTCCACGGAGATGGTGAGTAATGTTTCTTGCGACTTTGCAAGAATGGATTTACGTCACCTATGCAACAACTCAGCGATATTTCAATTAGTGTCACTATCTTGAAGCATGGACTTTGGTGGCTTCTTTGTACGAGCGAGAGGAGCTTTAACTGAGAGAATCCTTTCTGGTTGTGTTTTGCTTAACTGAACTGCTTCTCCCATTATTAGTATTATGGTGATTATTGTTGTTTCACTCTCATATACTAATTTCTATCCATCTTTTTTTTTTATTATATATATATATATATATATATATATATATATATATATATATATATATATATATATATATATAGTTTTACTCATCATCCAGCAGGTTTAGTTTGCGCAAGCTTTGTTCTTCTTCTTCTAATACGTTTACTTTCTGTTGTCCTGCAATAAGGAAAACAAACCTGCATTAATAAAGTTACACGTAATGATTTTCGATACTGTCACACTATCCCCTCTCTTCATGAGGCACTGTCCTCAGTGCCTGGTGCTGGACATGGGTATGCTACCCCTCCTTCTGGTGGCACTTCATAATGGCTGACGGCATTCGGGGGGTTGACAAACGGGGTATCTAAGTGCACCGTTGTCTTGTCTGGCTTTAATTGATTGTAGTGTACTGTTATAACATCGTCTTGGGGTCGTTGGAGGTTACGTAAGACGAATGTAGTGGGAGACCGCATAAACACAACTTCGTAAGGTCCTTGCCAAGGGTGATGGAACTTGCTGCATGTCCCCGGTGGAGCCAAAGGGCGGTGCAACCACACACGATCTCTGGGTTTATACACAGGTCCGTTCGTCTTGCGATCGTACACGTCATTTTGGTGCTTGCTGGCATTTTGTAGGTTGATCTTCACCAAGCGATAGGCGGCTGCGAAGATTACGGATGTATACTACATGATCTTGGACCTCGCATGGTAACAGCGGTATTTGCAGCTCAACGGGTAGGCGCAATTCATGCCCAAAAAGTAGGGTCGCCGGTGAAAATCCTGTAGATCCGTGCACTGATGAGCGGTATATATATATATATATATATATATAGGTACCCCTTCATACCAATTTCTTTGTATAAATAAAGTAAATAAGTAAAGAGTGCATCGTGATGTCTTCTGGTAATTATGCTGCTCCTCTACATAAATTAGAATTAATAACCCCTACAGTTCCTCACGTGGCCCAGACAACCAATTATTTAGTAAGTCCCAGACAATAAATAAGAGGTCTTCAAGTCTCAAATATCTCGAGATTTATTCGTTCTACTGAAAGTCTTTTACTGTGTATTCGATTTTTAGACTACTGTCATGAGGAAAGCTCCGTACGACAAAAATGCTCCAAGGCGACCTCTTTCAGCATTTATGTTGTTCATGAAAAAGCGCAGACAAGAATCAGAATATATTGCTTCACAGTCATTTTCAGACAGAAATCGTATTATTGCTACTGAATGGGCTGCTCTATCTGCTGAAGAGAAACAAGTATATACTGACCAAGCTGCCGAAGGTCGTGAGTCATACAAAAAATTGTTTGCTGAATACAAACTACTGATAATTACAAGAAATGGTTAGCTTCCAATGAAACGGTCAATGCTAATGGGCCCAAAGCTGGATGTAAACGACCAGTAAAACAAATATCACATACTAAAAACAATGACATAGAAGCAGATTGCAAAATTTCAATATTTACTCATGAATTTCTGGAATACAACAGACTTCGTGAAGTTATCTTGCGTCAATTGAAGAAACACGTTAGTTACATATCAGTGTATAACCATTGCTTTTCGTAACAGCTAATTAGGAGAAGCACAAACATCTTAAACATGAATCCACTTTCAAATGTTTTGAATTATCCCGTCGTTGATATTTTGACTGGAATTTTACCAGTCTTGGTTAGAATATGTGAATTCTGTGCGGATTGTCTTGATATATCTATTATGATACAAGTTAATATATATTCTATATTTAGATGGGTGACTTAGTAGTCGACCGCTTCAATCACTAAAGTATATTCGTCAAGCTCTCTGTATTAAAGTTATATATAATTCGCTCGTACACCCCAGTACTAATTGTCATGTATACTTTTTATGAGGAAGTGGCTTATTAGTTAAATAACTCAGTATTCAACCAATCAGTGTGCCAAATCACCCACCTTCATCAGTTTGTGCAGAAAAGTGAGGTTACTAGCTCTCACACAAGTAGTGTAGTTTAAGGCTAAATGCGAAACCCCTACTTGACAAATGGAGGGGAAATTTCATCATGATCATGTATATGGTATGAAATATTGCCTAGACTGAACCAAGCAGTTTCCTTATGGGATCGCTTCTGAGCTTTTGACATAAAGAACTACTACAAAATTCAGCCCCGTGGTAACCGAAGACCAGAATAGGTTGGTACGCTATTTCTTCCCTTTTGGATTAGGAAACACGTATAGACCACTGGTTTAGAATCTTCCAACTCCTATACTTGGACCCTCCGTAGTTTCCTCTATTTCTTCACAATATCACCGCTTCGTTTATGTGACGCATTCCTTTTGGTGCCTTATTGTGACGAGATTTGAATAAATCAATGAAACATTAAACTTAGTAAATGAGTTACACTACTATTGTCATATACTTTTTCCAGGTATCACAGCTTGAAGAAGAAACCGCTCTACTAAGTAAGCATGTGGAAAATCTTGTAAATGCTGAAAATCGGACAAAAAATCAAATTACTACAACGAAGGAATTACTAACCAATGAAGAAAATTTATTGAAACAGCTATGTAAAGAGTTAACAATTGCTTTAAGCGATGTAAGTTAATTTTACTGAAGCTTATGAAATGTGATAGTTTAATGTATAAAGCAAGTATAGTTTTGTGTACTCAAAAAAGTAGAATTTCAGTAATATGTATGTATAGTTAATTAAGTGGTGTTATATCGTACTTCTGTTTACACTACACATTCACTGTTAATAAATCTAGTATCTGGGAAACTTACCGAAATTGATTTTGGATATTATCTGATTGTGTGACATATCCGTGATAAACACAAAAAAAAAAACAAAATATCCTCTAAATAGTATGAAGACAACAATAATATCACTGTGTTATTTTGCCTTAGTTATGATATATTATAAGTAATAAATCACCAAATTGTGCTTCGACAATACAAAGTTTACAGGATTTCTCTTCGCGATTTATCGTGTCTACTTATAGTACCAATCGATTATTTGTCTGGTGAAATCTGTGCTAGAAAGAAGTTACTGGATCACCAGTATTATTGCCTGTCTTTACGAACGCGGATAGTAACTAACACTCGTGATACTCGTATAACATCATGAGGGGTTAAGCGCTAAAATGAAGTCAGGCCCAAATCTCAAGCAAATAAATAAACAACAGCAAAACGGTTCATATTTCTTAGTCATTATCGAATGAAAGTCAGCCAAATTAGTCCTCAAATTGAAAATCTCGCAGATCGGATTCAACTCATCGGACTAGGTGGACAAAAAAGTTGATGATTGACCGTTGAACGATAAGTCAGTCGTCGCCTGAACTGATCAGTGTATATTTCTTCAAGCATATCTCTGAATAAACTAACCACGTTATTCACTCATTAACTTCGTCTTACTGATTTGATAACCTTGCTATTTCTAAGTGTAAACAGTGGCTCCTTCTGTTAAAAACATTTTTTTCTGAATGTACACTATATATATACCATATTTTCTCTCTAGGTCTTTGTGAATAAAGAAATACTACTTCCTGTCCTTAAACAGGAAGAGATGAGAACAGTGAGCCTCATTTGTTTATTTTGGTTTAAGCTTTGTCAATACCTCTTAATCTCAGATTGTATCTTAAGTGTCAAGGAAAATTCTCCACTTGTTATTTGAGGTTGTTGTAGATGTCATATGTTATACTTAAACTTAAGAAAACATTACATTGAGTTCTACAGTACCTTGAAAATTATCAGTATGATTATTAACTGTATATACTTTAGGTCAATTATAAAATATGATTATGCAATGGACATTTGGATTTTTATAGACTGTCAGATAAAAGACATTAGGTCAATTCAAAAGCATTCCTTCGTCTATCCTCTCCAATATAAGATTTCATTCATGCGAGGATTATGCTGTGTTGTGTGGAGTGTTGAAAGTTGTTCATAGGGCGTGGCGAAAACTACTGCAATATTTGCCATGTAACCACAAACGAGTGAACACAAATAAATAAATTACGATTATCATAGACAACAGGTTGTTTATGATAGAACTTTGTAACCAAATACCTATTTGTGTACACTACTTTGATCTACTCTTTAATTTATGATGGAGATCAGTAATACTGCTCAAATTGAAGTGTATGAGACAGAGTTTGAACTTGTAACTTAATGGTCGAAATCTAAATCCTAACTATAAAATAGGTTCCCTGACAACAATTTAACTTTAAAAATTAGATTTTATTTTCATTATAATATAATGATGATACATATTACGTTTATTTCTTATATAATTATTTATTTATTATTAGGTCACTTTATCCAATAATACATCCGATATAAGTTTAAAAGGAATTGAACGTATTACAGAAACTAGTGTGGAATCTTTTCTTTCAAGATTAGAATCTTTAAAAAATTCTTCATCTTATTTAGAATTATCATCAAAAATTATACAATCCATTCGTTTAGCTTGTCAAAAGAAAACAATTAAATTGTTAACTTATGAAATAAATTAAATGAGAAAATTCATTTTGTTGTTTTTATATCTAAATGTTCTTTTTATTTGTACTTTTATTTACAAATTACTATCACTAACATAATTGTTCTATACACACAGATACTTATGTACATTATTAACGATAGAGAAAATTAGTTTTCTATTTATTTATTTCATACATTCTAATTTTTGTCTCATTTAAATCATTCTCCCCATGGTCTATTTACTCTTTTATTCTCCCATCCAGTTTTTTTAGAGGATTCAGTAACTTCTTTATGAAATTCAAGAATATAATCTTCATCTAAATTAGGTAATTGTGCTGTCAATCGCTTTTTTTCATGAATACAGTAACGCATATATGTTAAATAATAGGCTGAAATTATCATTGATCCAATGAAAGGTACCATACGTACCCAAACAGGATGATTAGACATTTTATTCCATTTGAGTTCAAAAAATCGAGTGTAGGGAACTGTAAAAACAAAAGACAATATTTGAAATTATTGCATACATCGGTTAATAAGTTGAAACATTAACTTTAGTTTATCAATACACATGTGACATGGCTCAGAATCGATCATAATGGCGTCGGTGTATACACTCTCTGTCTTCCCTTAAACTAAGAGATTAAAATCGCTTCATATCTTTCTTTCTACGAACTAATTCTTTCTTCCTGTACTATATCATTATATGCAATCTTTCTTTTATATATTACCAGCACTGAATGAACTACTTTTATGAATCCGGTGTTTATCTTGTTGTGTTAATGAGTTGTGGCAACTTGGACCGGTGTATACATGTGCCTGGTCCTACGTTGTAGCTGACTGACAATACACATGTAGTCGCATACTTTTGACCTTGAAATGAACCAAACACCTGGTATTCCTAGTATTTTTAAATAAAGCCAATGATCTTCTTGTAAGTACTATTGATGTCTAACTGTAAAAGGCAATTCATACATATCACAAATTGTACACCCCCTTGATTTTATAAGGAAATTAAAGCTCATTTTCAAGACTTGAATGTCTACTTATAGTTTTGAATAATCTGGAAGCGATTATAGTCACAGACATCAAAACGCTTCAGGGAGCTATTCGTATTATTACACCTGCCATAGCTTAACTAGTCCTATGAAGTGAGAGGCAAGCTTTCGTGCGTCGTGACGTAATATGATAGGTCAAGCTAGTGAGGTGACTTAGGAAAAACCTTACAAGCCCTCAAACGAGGCGTCGGCAACTATAGACATACATTTGACCGGATAGAAGCGGTGAATCTATTTGATTGATTGTAGTTTAAGATTACCCAATGACATGGTAAAAGTCACAACACGGCACCTAACTACAATGCATTATAAACGAACATAGTATACTTTAGGTTTCGCTTCTCCTAGGCATTTCGCAACCAACTAAGTATGCTCTCAGAATTTCTTTCCAAAACACTAGGTAGCATGAATTCAGAACTATTTATCAGTGTTTACATAAGGCCCCATTTGTAGAATTTTCTGCACCGCGTCCCGTCACCTCAATAAAGATATTGGCCTTTTGGAACGCGTTCAAAAGTGGTGACTGAAGATGCTCGGACTAAGAATAAACTCTACCCAGTTCGTCTGGGCCTCAGCATTTAATTTACAGTCATTGAAGTATAGAAGGATTACGGGGGATATGACCACGATATATCACGTTGCCTATAGTTCTCTCCATCCAAAGAGACCACTTATACGTTTGTCATAAATCCTACTTAAAAGGGCATCTACTCAAAATGGAACACCAGCTCGTTAACGAGCTGAATGAAGTCCGTGCAAACATTTTTGCGGTTCTGATCAGTTGTTGGACTTCCTAATCGAAGCTATGAGGGTAAGATCTGCTGAATCTTTCAGACGACAGTGGATGACCACTTTAGTTCTGTAGATACTATGGGAGATTAACTAGATTTTCCCCTTTACCCATGTATCTTGGAGGTAATGCAAAAGTCAAACAGAAGTATCTCCACACCCACCTTGAAATCACTGGGAACAAACTCAACCCCAATTCGTAAATTCGACAGCCAACTAAGTGATTAATCAGAGGCAACGCTTAAGGGGTGTCGCCCACTGATATAGGTGGCTTAGCACTTGAAAGTCAAACAGTCGTAAAACAATTGGTGCGTCATCTCGACGTTTCGTAAGATTTTGCAGAAGCGGTCAAATCAAGACATTTTTAGATCTGAATTCAGTTCAGCCACACTACTGGCATTTCGTATCTTTAATTATGATTTGGGTGTTAATATGTCTTATCTTTTTGCTCCCTCCAGCACTAATAATCTCCGAGGTCATAGCAAGAAGGTTCATAAACCACGATCTAATAAACTTAAAGTGGGGTCCCGTTTTTCTCATCGAGTAGTCAATCATTGGAACGCCTTACCCGAACAAGTGGTATCAGCCCCATCAGTGAATACTTTCAAGGAAAAGCTGGACCTTCACTGGAAAGCAATGTGTCAGGATTAACACAGGTTCATCAACCTACTATCCTTATTACTGAAGACTATATCTGATAACGTTTATCCTTCAAGTAACGAAAGTGGTGCCATCATAATGATGCCTGAAAATATGATGGATCTTCAACGATAAGTTGTCGCGACGAATTACAACTTTGGGAAATCTTGAGAATCATTCAAAAAGGCTTTAATTCTTACAAAGAACGACTAACAGCTGAAGCCTTACACATATGGGCTAATCCAAACAGTATTAATAGGAGAGATGGAATACAACTACCTGTCCCATGGCAACTAATAATTAATAGGTAAACCTGAACTCCTTATTCCATTTGACCTGTCTATATCATATCAACTAATCGATAGATAATACATCCAAAGGTTTCAAATCAGTTAGCTTATCTGAATATGTTAAACAATTGACTGGAACATTAAAATAACACTAACTTTCAATTACAAATACATTCCCCTTTGAATTCAGTCTTTTATCTTGTTTACTTATCTTCATTTAATGCATGATATGACATTTTTGATTGATTTCATGTATAAAATAATGTTTTTCCTAATATACACAGACCGAGGACAATATATAGTTTAATGAAATTTTTCCTCAAATCACTTATGTATACACGCAATCTGTTATCTTAACACTTCGTTTCATACCCCATGTCTCTTAAGCATTAAAGTAAATACCTACTTTAAACACTGTTCACGTTGGTTGGATGACTTATTCAGTGTACAGTAAACCAGAGAACCATGTACCTACATATATATATATATTCCTTGAAAAAGCTTGGACCAGTCTGCCAGGCGAAACGTTGGATTTACTTCAAATTCTTTCGCTGAGATTTTACAAATACATTCTTCCTCTCCAATGACTCACACTAACTCGGCGCCCAAATAAAGTGAAAAAATTCGTTCAAATTTAGATCAAAGTTCGTATTAATTCTGAGACCCGTTTGAAAGAAGCACGTAATTTAAAGACATTTCGCCTTCACGTTGGTTATTTAAAGAAAATGTTGATTTTCCCCCCTTACGTCGTGTAATTTGGAAAAATTTATCGACAATTACACGTAACGTACCGTGTTATAATATGCGGCATCCCGTAAGCATAATTTCAAAAACGTCCATAAAACAACGAACCCTGAAATAAAAAAACAAAACTATTATCATAAACACAGACTAAAATATACGTACATGGCTGAGACACATAAACACTGACTTTGTTTTTTGTTTAGCTAAAGTGTCTCGACAAGTTTGGTTGCGATCATAAATAACTAACGTGGTGAGAGTGACGTATTCTCTCTCCTTCCTGTTCATCATATCTGATTCCCTTGCTATTTCAATACTATGCGTTCAAATAAAGTCACCGATAGAGCTCGTAGACGCCTGACGTTCTTTAAAGTGAGATCCCGACTCATAACACGAGTCAAACACACATCATAGCTGTTGAAAGTCACACCATAACGACCAGCGTGAGTAGGGTCAGTGGAAAAAATAAGAGTGTAAATAACAAGTGTACTGTTCAGTATTTCGATCTGTACTGCATTACTAGTGTAGGGTGTTTTCGTGGAAGATAAACTATGTTTGCATTACAAGAATCTGGTCAAAATGATCGTGAAAACACTACCGCGAATGTTGGAACCACTGAAGTTTTCGATATTGGATTCTGACCATATGTTTTAGTGGACTAACTAGCTGAAGGCGGTTGATCAAGTGTGGTAACGCTGTACTCAACGAAATCACTGCTATACCAGAATTTAAGGTGTAAAAAGGTGAGACAGCGACTTAGCTTACTGAGTAGTTATTTTTACGTTATTAGCGTGGATGATGTTGAAACACTATAGGTATTGAAGCTGACAGAAATCACAAGTTTTACAATGGAAGTTGTACTATTATCTCAGTTTGGTAGGAAAGTTACTTGTTACGTATGGAGTGTCATTATAAACTGGGAATCACTTCTTTTTTTTTCTTTTTCAGTTTATTATATTTTCCGGCTTATCAAATATCACCTGTGATTATCTGTTCTCTGTGCCATAACACCATCAGATCCACCCAGGTGTCTCTCCATTTCACTTAGTTCAGCTAATTGAGCATTAAAGTCATGAGCCAGTATTACTACATCACAGAGCCTAACGTTTTGGAGTAGGCCAGAAATCTTTCCGCAAAACTCATCTTTTACATCATCTGAGCTGCAGTTAGTGGGAGAATAGACAGAGATGACGAAGAGGCAACGACGAATGTCCCTATCTTTCCGAGTCCTTACTGTTCCGTTTAGTTGGACAGCGCACAGACGACTGTCTACTGTGATCCAGTCTAAGAGAGCTAGTTCTGCCCAAGGACTTAATGCTATGCCTACAACAGCAAGACAATGTGGAGCAGCACAACGGCTTCTAGAAACTCAAAGTATGAATCCAGATGCTTCTTTATCTTGATATGGTGAGTTCAAATAACGGAAACTACTCAGATCCTCTATGCGCGTTTCAGTGACGAAGTATACAAAGACGGTGCGATATTCTAAGGTCATAGCTAAGGAAATCTGTTGTTGAATTTGGTTCAGTATTCGGGCGTTAAAAGCTACATCATGCAGTTTCGAGTGTAGCAACAAGTAATCGCGGATAACATTCTGCGACCTCGAATCCTTTAAATAGAGACGACGGGTGATAAATCAGCGTGAGCAGGGTTAGTAGAGAAAACTAAAAGTGTAAATGGATTTAGGACAAAGGTGAATACGAGTGGGATAAAGGGAGGTTAAAGTGACAGAAATCACAAGTTTTACAATGGAAGTTGTACTATTATCTCAGTTTGGTAGGAAAGTTACTTGTTACGTATGGAGTGTCATTATAAACTGATAAATAAATTTTGCGCATCTTCTGTCATTTTTCTTGTGGTTGAGTGGTCTAAGGCGTTGGATCTCTGCTGCAATGTTAATGGGCGCCGGATCGAGTCACAACCACATCATAACTGTTGACAATCACTCGAGTCACACCATAACCATCAGGTGACACTGTACATATTCTCACAGCGTTTCGTGTCTCTTGAACACTTGGTGCAATGCACAACACCGACCAGTGACAGTGCCTTACCTAGTCCCATTCACAGACAACATGGTCTCACAGTATGGTACTACTGTGATGTATGGTGATGAGTGATTAAGTGAGACGATGAGTGAGTGAGTGAGAATGAGATGGTTTCGATCAGGTGTTGTGACTGTGTGATCTGATTCGATGTTGATAGTGCATGTGGATGTGAATGTGCCTATGCATATGCGTGTGTGTCTGTCTGTGTGGACTGCGTATTGTATTGTGTATAGTTTTAGTAAGCCCATTGAACTATGGTATTACTTGTCTACTCATTGTAATTTAGACACTTAATCCACTATGTAAACTTCTGTGTGAGTCTGATTGTGCGCGTGTCTGCACATCAATCAATCTGTAATCTATTCTCCCATTGGTTGTAAGTCACAGGTAATCAATAGTTTATCCAAAAAGAAACAGACTCACAGTTGCAATTAGGTGTACCAGATCACGTCGGTCTCACGAATGAAGATGACACAGGTATTCAGTGTTTGACAACGCTTTTACCAGCAACACCTTCTAATATACTTTGTATCCACCCAGAGAAATCAAAGGACATAATCGAGGAGATCAGATATGTGTATTTGGCGATTACCAATATATCGGAATTCTCAGATCTAATCTGGCTAGATTTGGCGGTAGATGTTGAGCACAGCGTTACCACACCTGATCAACCGCCTTCAGCTAGATGAGCCCACTAAAACATATGGTCAGAATCCAATATCGAAAACATCACTGGTTCAAACATTCGCGGGTAGTGATTTTACGGGGATGTATATGGGCTGCCTGACGGTCGTATGATTCCTAAGTCTATCATGTGATCGAATTCGTTTTTCGCTAACCTTAGCTTTTCAGGAGCTAGTCGTCCTGCTTTAGAGAATACAGGTGGTCCTGTAGTCGTGATGTGATGTGTAACATTGCTGGTTACAAACGGTAGTTTCGGTTGAGTTTGTTGTATCCCAGGATACTTATCGAGTAGTGGTTGATAGAGTGGGTCTATCATATGCTTAATTGTGACTGGGGATACTCTACAACCAGTAAAAGAAGTTACGCAAACGGACAAATTAGTGTTTCCGTCTACTAGCCTCCGTTTGCGAGTCTCGATGATCAGATTGTGGTGTTGTAGAAGGTCCATACCAATGATTGGCATAGAAACATCTGCAAGAACGAAGATCCAGTGAATGGGTTTGCGTAAACCCACGTTAAGGTAAACGTACCTTTTGCCATACGTAGCGATCGGTTTTCCGTTTGCCGCCTGTAAGTTTAGGGTCGATTCGTGAAGTCGGTCGTTGGAATTCGCTGGCAGAACGCTAACTTCTGCGCCAGTGTCGACGAGGTAGCAAACTCTCGTTGTCACATCTGTGACGAATAACAGACGGCTTTGTTCGCCGGCTACGGTTGCCGTTAACGCGTGCCGGCTTGGAAGTTTCCCGAGTTGTCTTTCGAGTCAGTCGGTTTCGTGTTGGGAAAATTGCAGGGTTTTCTGCAATTTCTGGAAGACTTTCCATACAGGTTATGATACCAGCACCAGTCGGGGTTATCCGTCTCTCGTGGTCTAGGGACAGATCGCTTACGTGAAATGCTTCTACGTGGGGTGCGTGAGCGATTACGGTCGTTACGAAGATTAAGATAACGCGTGAGTGTATGACATAACTCGGTTATGTCATTCTGAGTCTTCTGAGGCTTTTCTTTGACTAAAAATACCTCGGTAGCAGGTTTCGTAATTTCTAAAATGCGGTAGGCAGATGCAGCTAGCTCGTCTAAGGCGTTGTTCCGAAACGAGACCAGAACCGCTTGCACCTGTTGGGGAAGTTTAGACAAGAAGAGTTGTTTGAATAGACCTTCGTCGAAAGTTCTTGGGCCTATAACCTCTCTCATCCCTTGCAACATGTCTGTCGCAGAACCGTGTTGCAGGTCGATGTTATTGAAGAGTTGATCTAACCTTTGTCGATCGGTTAGGTCTCCTCGTTTAAGAATCGAGCGTTTTAAGATTTCGTACGGTTCGGAAACATCACTAGTAAACATACTAGGTGTTACGTACCTGTTGGATTCGCGCGGTAGTGCTTTGACTACTGCGAGGAATTGTGCACGTTTGTCGATCACGCCGTGCTCGTGGAAGTCGGCTTCTACGTAAAAGAACCAGATTTCGATATTGTCGGGCCAGAAGGGCATCAGTTGAAACGAAGGCGGGGACAAAGTCTCAAGCCTGAGTACTTTAGGTGTCTGTTCAGTCATGATGAAATATGAAGTAAAATGGTTCAAATGGTTGTGGACGGAATAGAAGAAGCTTTCGCTTAACAGGCTTCCGTGTCTAGTAGCAGGGGATCACCAAATCCTCCAGGCAGGAACCTAGGTATGTTAACAATAAAAGAGGAAAAGAGATTGGTAAATCATAATGTGATGCTGTTCTTGGTCCTTAAGAATAGGTCAAGTTGCCTCTTGAAGGACTCCTGAGAAGTCGCTTGGACTAGCTCGGCTGGCAGCGAATTCCAGCTTTTGACAACTCTTAAGGAGTAGAAATTGTGTCTACATTCCGTCTTGCTATGTTGTGTCTCCAGTTTCTGGGTGTTACCCCTTAGGTTGCTATTCGAACTAAGCTTAAGTAGGTGTTTAAGAGGATGTCCAGAAGTGTTAAGAATACTATAAGCCATTAATAAATCACCTCTAAGACGCCTATATTCTAATGGGTAAAGGTCTAGTGAACGGAGGCGTTCTTCGTAAGGCTTAGATTTGAGTCCTCGAACTGATTTCGTGGCTCGCCATTGGATACGCTCCAAAGTGACCTTGTCTTTTTGGAGTAAGGATGGGAGTACTATGTTTCCGTACTCTAAATGGGGACGGATGAAACTATTGAAGATTGTATGGAAAGTTCTTCCGTCAAACTGGCCAAAAATGCGCTTCAACGTTACCAGTGCAAGGTTTGCTCGGAAGGCATTTTTGTCACAGTTAGCGTAAGACCTTAAATCATGGGCACCAGGACTCCTAAATCTTTTTCGACTTGGGATACTACTAGAGAGGAGTTTCCTAAGTTGTAACTGTAGTTTGCGA